AATGAAATGACATTCCTGATGAGTTACCAACATAAGTACATTTCCAGTACACGGAGCAGGACAACATTCACTACGCATGAGATAAGACAAGTTGGGTGGACTGCCCCAACATGCAATAAGCTGAGAGAGAGAGAGACAGACAGACAGACAAACAGACGGACAAAGAGAACGATCAAAGGTTGAAACGAATGAAAACAAGAAGTCCAGGCCACCGGAGCAACCTTCTGGGGAAAAAGACAGACTGTAAAATGCCGGATCCAATGTATTGTTTTGGGCATTTAAGGCACTGGCACAGACACGATACGTTAACATTTGTCAAGGATCTGGCAGCATAAAGCACCATGGATTTCCAGGTCCAAGCCCAGGCACGATGATGTTGCACGACGCTACCATCATACATAAGAATTGCGATGCAATGGCCACCGTAACAATTGTAACGTGGAAGAGGAAGTCACGGGGAAGCCAGACCAATGTAGATATGACAAATCATGTAGTCACTAAGTTCCCATTCTCCACTGCATGTCAGACAATATCCCTCCAACTAGGCCATCGGATCATAATAACCCAGATGGTCAGAAAAGAGGACCTTCTCCAGGTCAGCGGCTTAGATAGTCAGTGCAAAATGGTCCGAGGCCAAGACACCCAGCTGGTGCTTGTAGAATGGCCTAATAAATTAGAAGGAACTGGGGTCCACCCTCCACTTGAACTATCAGATCCCGATAGGTGATCTGGTCAAGATTCCAAAGGCTTGCCTCCACGTTCGGCAGTTAACTCACTCGCTGGTCGGGTCCACCCTCCACTTGAACTATCAGATCCAGATAGGCGATAATAGTCCAGATTCCAAAGCCTTGCCTCCAGGTTCGGCAGTTAGTCACTTGCCGGTTCCACCCACCGGGGTCTCAGGCTCTCAGCCGTGGTATAGATCTTCAAGAACGATGAAAGACAAAATATAGTGTACTCAGTGTAGCTTATTCCAGGCAACAGTGTGGAAGACAAGAACTGAAAGGGCACTCTCAAAGCCAGGATACGGTTATGACAACAACCTCACAATAATGCTTCCCTGAACATACACCACATATCCCAGGCACCCTAAAACAAAACCAGAAATAATCCCCCGGCAAACTGACTGTAAAAGAGTCATGTTTTGTGGTAAGATGATTAGGACAACTGGACTTGCCAGCAGAATAGGAACAAAACTGCCGCTCTGACATTTCTAAACGAAGAGGGGAAAAATTGGGCAAGTGGACCTATCTCGACCTATCTCGACCTATCTCTGCTCAACTGAGTCCTGATGAGGGTTCACTGTGTATGTCCAAATGGAAGCCGTACATAACATCCCTTGACATTATCAGGCCAAGCGTGAAACCCTTGGCTGGGGGCAAAGAAGGTCAGACTCTACAGGGTACTACTCCATTACCATAAACATATTAAAGCTCTCCGTCCTGGACAAACGCAGTAATAACAATGGGGCAGGTGCTTCAGGGAAGCTGGGCAGAAAAAGGTTCCCTCACCCACCAGTGGAATGCAGTCATGCTGATACAATGTTGCATTTCAGGGAACCCAAGCATGGATTGCACTAGCCCTCTGTGCTCAAAGCTTCTGTGAGGCTGGAGATTAAATAGCTGAAAAAAATACCACGCAGGGTTTCCCCCTTCCGCCATATCCACCTGCCCTTGGAGTAACCCTGCAACAGAAACTGACCACTGTATGCCAGTGCTCATTCCATGTCCACAGCACTATCCATCGGGAGTTAATGAAGCATTGTCATTGGCCAATATATACTCGTCAGGTTGGGAGAGTAGAGTACAACAGTACTGTATGTCGAACACAGGTCACTTCTCTCTCTCTCTCTCTCTCTCTCTCTCTCTCTCTCTCTCTCTCTCTCTCTCTCTCTCTCTCTCTCTCTCTCTCTCTCTCTCTCTCTNCTCTCTCTCTCTCTCTCTCTCTCTCTCTCTCTCTCTCTCTCTCTCTCTCTCTCTCTCTCTCTCTCTCTCTCTCTCCACACACACACACACACACCTTCCCTGCCTCGTCTACTTGTTTTGATAATTGCCCCTCCCTCGCCTTTCTCCTTTTCATAGTAGACCTTCCTTGTGCTCATGATCTGTCCATATCCACTTGGTCCTCCATCCTGCTGCCCCTTGCTGTTTATCCTCCTCGGTTATCATCGACCTTACCTCTAGCGTGTCCTTCTTTCCCTTTCTTCCGCAGACACTGCCCTCGTCCTCTATGTATGTGTGTGCGGTCGCCTTTGCTTCTATCTGCATTGCACCATGTCCTATGACGGCACCAACGGTAGTCCCTCCCTGTTCAAAAGACTGGAATTTGTAGCACACAGTTGTGCCGTAACCTTGTCGTGGGAGGGAGCATGGCACCTAGGCACAATGTCCATCTTCAGAAAATGGATAGGGCAACCCAGTACAACAAGACATGCTGGCATACCTGAATACGGAATCTGTTTTCACAACGGTCCTTATCACACTCCAGTTACCGTTCAGTGGATCGACGATTGTTCAGCGCGTGCAAAGTAAGCGCTGGTCACCTCCTTTGCTGGAGCACATTATTCACTGAATTCGAAAATTTCAAGGCATGCGAAGAAAGTGCTGGTCACCTCCTTCGCTGGAGCACATTATTTGGCATGCTGCCATGCTCCCGCCTATTTTTCTCTCTCCATGCAGAAGATGGTCGCCCTTCTTGCCATGGATACAGAAGATCTCACTCGCTTGAGAGTCATTCAGGTCCAGCAACTGCTGGTGCTGGCATCAATATACTAAGAGAACAACCTCGTTCTCTCTTGAGGTGCATTCAGAACCAACCATCACACTGAGAATGCAGTAACAGCAACAACTTACGTGAAARAAACAAGTGACACCCGCCTCTGGCTTGTGATCCCAAACTTTGAAACTACAAGAGTGACAGAGAGCTTCATCACTAACATTCAGCTTTCCGTGGACACAGGAGATACGTCAGTGACGCTTGCATCTGCCATTTGATGCCAAACTTTGAAACCACAAGAGTGACATAGAGCTTCAGCACCAACACTCAACTTTCCATGGAGGTGATGTCAATGTCAACCGTTGACGTCATGAGAGAAGAAAAGTCAGAGAGATTGTCAGAAAAAAACATTCCATTCCACTTTCCGTGAATATCGGAAACTTGGACATGAAACTGGATCTTTTAGAGCCACTGATCTAAGAATGCTCGAGTGTGTGTCCCATGTCTTACAGGAGGTCAGTCAATTGTTGTAAGTTATTTTCTCAAGCGTTCACCTAAGAATCAAATAACACTGAAGTTCGGCAACCGAGGCAGACGCTACCAGCTCCTACTCGTTAACATCAAACTGGTACCTGTGGTCACCCAACTCCTCCTCTATATTCCAGTCTACGGCAGCTGCAAATAGCAAATCAGTTTCTTTTGATATATACTCTTGAGAGTAGCTGCAGACATCCGGTGCAGGCCATAAGGAGATCTTTCTTTTTCCTTGAAGGGAAGGAAGTAGCCCTTAAGTTTGAATTCATCTGATTACAGCGGATTTGAACTCCTGATCTGTTCAGCAAGAGGTACATGAATGTACAACTCAGTGACAAGGCAGGTATATTTTTGTTCTTTTTTCTTTTGATTTGGGCCATTTCTTGACTTCGAAGGTCATTCTTGCACAGGACTCATGCTAGTCTTCTCTGTTACATCCCACTTCGAAGAGATGCCTCACAGGATTGGAGTTCAGACTTCTACCAACTGCCCAAGCAAATCTCCGAAACGTACAATCTGCTGCACATTTCTCAGTGGACAAAATCTGCTGAGTCAAATCAATCAACCGGTTTTGATTGCTCCGGCCGTGTATGGACATTCTTGACCCATATTCACAAACCAATCAAGCATCCTTGCAGTTCCACATCTGCAACTTTAGCGGTTTGAGTCCGTTTGCTGCTGACCTACAGAATGGCCTGTGGATTCTTGGTTCTTCAAGAAACATTTGCTGATGAGGCACAACCACAGTTGCGTTACTCTCCTGCACGCTGAGCATCAATGCACAGCGCTCCCGTCAAGGGCTACACTTTCAATGCAATTGCGTTTCTACACTGGGTCAAACAGGAAGCAGGCTCCGTTGTTCTTGCCTGGCAGGCCCTTGCCCAGGCAGGTTTGATGGATTAGTGACCAATGATCCTCTCCAGCTTTTATTTAAAAGAATGGTTAGATAGAGCACGATCTCACCAGGAACGAAAGAGAAACTTAGATGCAGTAGTGTCAATTTCTATGACACATCCACCCTCTCAGGAGACATAATATTGTCAATTTGTCACCCAGGCAGTAACACCAACACAGAAGGGTTGACGCCTACAATATCTCTCCCCTTGAGCCATCACCTGATCCTTTCGAATGCCTCTGACAGCTTGGTGCAACTGTGATTGTATGCTGTTCTTAATACTAGTTGGGAATAAGACATCCAAAGGAATTTTGGGAGCGAAAAAAGTGGGATGCTTATGCATTAGATCAAAAGTTTCACAACCTGCAAGACAGTTTGTTTTGTAACCTCAGTCTATCCATCTGCCAGTAAATGGTGTCCATATCTCATTGTTAGTAGCATCTTCGCCAGTTACAGTGCCCTGCAGATGCAATATGGTAGAACAAGCAGTGCCGTTCTCACTGTCCATTCTCTGTATCCTCGTCTGAAGAACTGATTCTCTTCATCATCTACCTGTTGGGCACAGGCATGTTCACAGATTAGAACTAAGTCTACGGGCGTGCAGAACACGTAACATAATCACGAAACGAGCAGCATTACTGCACAAAGTTGGTAGGTATGCAGTCTGAGCACCCCTTAAAATTACCAACGACAGCAGTAGCTGGTAACATGGTCTAGCCAGGTACTCCACAGGGTCGATAAGCAAGTCCACCGTGATCTGTCCATACACAGCATCCTGCTGATCTCCATGGGGAATCTTACCAACAGGACTCTCTAACACCAGACTCTGCAACAGCTGGACAGATGATATGACCCATAGAAAACTGCAATTTCATTCGCATCCCATGCCTTCCTCATGCTTGACAAAGCCAGAGCTATAGACAAATGCAGCCGGTCATGCCTGTGCACTGGAAAAGCAAGCACGTGTTTTAGTGACTGGAATGCCTGATGATATGCAAAGAGTGTGAACAGATGACGATGTATGTGGTAGGTCTTCAGCATGCTCGCTGCACTGTTCTCGTACACAGTAAAAGTTGTAAAACCAGTGTGAGAAGTCGAGACATCAAAGCTTCACTGGCCTGAGTGTGATGCATCCATGGCTATTATGAATGGCACCAATGTATCAGCCACCTTAAGAGTGAGTAGTTAATTAGTGCACCCAACTGGCCAAGGGACTCCTGGCAACCTGCAGATCAAACAACAGGCGCTACCTGTTCAGTTAGCTCTCTCCTCTTTACAGTGTAGTATAAACAATCAGGCGCACAACATATATCGTCAAATAGAACTGCCCGGTAAACCGTAGGCAGAGAGGGAGAAGAGGACAACAAACGAGGGGCTGTGACAAACTGTTTCGTCGGAGTTTCACCGACTCATCAGGAGGCTGAACCCTCAACAGTCTGTAGAAACCCCTCACTGATTACACTGTAAGTGATAATCYACCTTAACCAAAATCAAAGTAGACTATCACTCACCCACACCAGATGGAAAACTCTACAGACTGTCGGTTCACACCCCATCACAAGCCAGCAAAACAYCCACGAAACAAAGAAAGGTCTGTCACAGCCAAAAAATACACTCCAGACACGCCGCTGGCACTAGAGGCACAGCATGGCCGCGTAGTGACGGCCCCGACCACTGCCGCTCGACCTGATATATATATTTTTTCAAGTACGAATTTACTAGGCAATTTATGCTGTCAACCAGTGCATCTCATTTTTGCTGGATGGATGCTTCCCAGAACCAAACGAAGCAGTGACCAAAAAGTCCTATTTTATCCAAAAAAGAGAGAAGAGCTAGTGATAAAGTAAACCACGAAGAAACAATGGGCGTAGCTCAGTTTGTACACCCCTGAACTGTTGAAATACAGAACTCAGTTAAAACTCCACTGAACGCAGATGAATAAAAACTATTTCGATGATGATATCTTAAAAACAGAAGTATGCCGCAAAAAGAACAAAACGTGGTGTGAGTGTGTGTTCGGACTACATTGTCTGTGGTGTGTGGGAGAGTGTGCAGTTACTCGAAGGGGGGTGGGGGAAGAAGAAAAGGAAGGTGCAGCCGCTGGCAAAATGCTCAGTCTTTGTGTTAGCCAGGCTCATACTGGCAGGCACCAACATTGCACCGTGACCACCAGGGCAAGGGGCAACATGCCATATCCCTTTTCCTGTGATAGATAGCTATGCTTGCACGGGTCCCCTGTAGTTAGGAGCAGTGGTAGGTAGGTAGTGAAAGGCGAATTTGAGAGAATAAGGGGTAAAAAAGAGTGTGTGGAGTGTGGGTATTTATCATCTAAGTCACCACAAAAATAGCCAAAAGCTTGCAGCTGCTCTTCAGCAATTCCCCTGCCAGCCAAGCATTTTTTCATAAACTTGCAATGAGACCACCATGCATGGAGACAAATCCCGCACATGAGACGCACAAAGTTTAAGCTGGCAGCTTAGATGCATAAAACACGGAGTAAGTTATCAGATGTGGTGGGACTTCCACAGTATAGGACGGGCCATCTGCATCTCCCTTGACATCGATGATTTCCTGCGGCCCTCTATGCGCCGGCAACAACTTCTGAGAGATTCCTCCTTCAGCAACAAAATATTTGGACTTCACCCTTAGTAGATCTACAACAGCAAATTAGAAAGGGTGTCTATGCTTGTTGGCCTGTTGAATCATCTTGCGCTTCATGTGTCTAATTATTTCCTTGACTTTTTGCCGGTCTCTCTCGGACTGCAGTGCGAACTCCTGTCCGTCGGGTGGCAATTGCTGCACCTGATCAGCATTCAAGCAGTCTATTGGTCTACCATCCTTCGTACAGCTGACTCGGGGTGCAGTCTGTAGACAAGTGCACTGAGTTGATGTATGCTACGGCCACCTGAGGTAAGAATTTGTCCCAATCAACTTGATCTGGTCTAATGTACATCCGTAGAGTTTCCTGGAGTATCTTATTCATCTGCTCAATCTGTCCATTCGTTTCAAGGTGTCTGCCCGACAACAGGGCTGCCTGTGACCCATGCATCTTCACGAGTCCTTGCCACTGGTCTTCGCTGAACCAATCGTCTCGATCCTATAAAACATAGCGTTCATTGAACACACATTTCCCGTTCAGAAATTGAACAGTTTGATCGGGCGATCAATGAACGCCCCCGAATGCAGAGTTCAATTCCACGGTTGAGCCCCCAGAGCCCCGGGGAGGGAACCGCACCAGGGGACGGATCCTGGAGGGGTCCGGAAGGGGCGCAGACATTGGAAGACTTCGTACGGACTGTGTATAATAGGTGGCATGATCCTCGAAGGGCTCAGAAGGCCACTGACTCCTTAGCTAGTCTCGGTTCAAAGTAGTACTGAACAGTTTGTGAGGTCACAGACGCCGTAGAACGTCTGATCGTGGTACCTGGCGTGCGTTATGACCTGCAGGTACTCACAACTTATCTGCGATGTCTGCCCACAGATGTCAAGAATAAGTTGGTGGACGAGGCCACCACAGATGTCCATAACTTCACTACTTTCAGCAAGAAGGCCTTAGATATAGAGGCCAAACTTTGGACCACACAGCAGGGTCTGACAGATGGTAGGAAGAAGAAGTTTCCCCAGGATTGGAGGAAGAAGGGCAATCTTATGTTCGTCGACCACGATGGTCAGACGATTGAGATTGACGACTTCCCTGACTTTGGGGAAAACACAAAGCAGGATGGGCAGTGAGACTTCGGATGGGGGAGTCGTGGCACCTATCAAGGAAAAGGCTAAGGGGGCCGGGAAACAGAAGGAAGGCCAGTCTAAGGGTCAATGCGTCCAAGGGACACCAGTCAAGGTGCGACTTGGTTTAAACTATGAGGTGTGGAGAGACTGAGTTGCTAGGGAAACGTGTCTTAGCTGTGGCAATTTTGGCCACACGGCAAGAACCTGCCGAAGCAAAAAGGTTACATCAAAGGTAGCCTCTCCACGGTAGTGGGCTTATCTTCGAACTCTGGTGGTGCTTCTGCGAGCACTTCCCACGGAAACACCTCGGGCCAGTAGGAGTTTTGACCGCTCTTACTCGCGCTAAAGTGGTAACGTTGCCTTCCCCACTTCAGGCTTTGGCCAAGGCTATTGACCCACTAGTCGCCCCGCAGACATGTAGACCAACCGATGCTCTGTTTGCGAGATGTGTCTAAGTCCTTAGAGGAATTAAAACCTGAGTGGACAGGGAAGGACCCCAGAGACTCCTGGGCGATGATTACTAGAGGTCCTAAAGGTGAACATTTCGTGGTAGAGGTTGATGTAGGTGGCCACAAAATGGATGTTAGGTCTCTAAGAGGAGCCTGATCCGCACAGAGACTCCTGGGCGATGAAAATAGTGTTAGGTCTCCTAAAACAGCACCAATATATGATAAACTTGGACAAATGTGGTCACATCAAGATCTTATATTTGGGTCATGTGATCTCTGCGGACGACTTGAGGCCAGACGATGCCAAGTGGCCAGCATACGTGACTGGCCCAGACCTGAAACTGTAACTGAGGTCCAATCATTTTTGGGGATGACAGGCTACTATCGTCCGTTTGTAAAGAACTATAGTACTATAGTATCCCCATTAACAGACCTAACCCGCCTTGACACCCTTTGGGAGTGGACCGAAGAGTGTGAGGCAGCCTCCAAGAGATTGAAGTATGCCTTGACACACTATGAAGTCCTCAAACTTCCGGATCATGAACAAGCCTTTGTTGTCACCACTGACGCCAGCCAATATGGCATAGCTGCCGTCCTTGCGCAGGAGGGGAAAAAGTTGAGGCCAATCGAGTACATGAGCAAAAAGATGCCATCTCAAAAGGCCAATCGAGTACATGAGCAAAAAGATGCCATCTCAAAAGTTAGCTAAGTCCACATATGAGCGAGAGTTATATGCCCTATATAGAGCGCTGGTCCATTGGAGGCACTACCTCCTAGGCAGATTTTTCTATGTAAGATCTTACCATGAGACATTGCGCTGGATCAAGACACAGCCCGTGCTCTTGCATGCACTGAACAGGTGGACTGAAGTCATTGATATGTATGACTTCAAGCTCGACTCTCTGAAGGGAGAGTACAATAAAGTGGCTGATGCATTACCACGAACGGCAGATTATTTGGGACCGGTAGTGACTGAGTTTGGAATATCTGACGATGTAACTCGATCTATGGTGGAAGTCTATCGAGAGGACGCAGTTTTTTCTGAGATCATTCACAAACTGGAAGTTAAAGATAAAGCCATTTTCGATGAGTTTGTGCTGGTAGATGGCTTACTGTTCCTTGAGAAGGCTCGGGATAAAAACATGAAGTAACACGAAATTTTATTTTTCTTTTTTTGAGAGTGTTTGTTTTAATAATCATCAAATATGTATTTGTTTTGTTTGTTTTGGTCTCATCTTATATCCACTAAYGAATCAAATCAATGTGGAAAAGAAGTCGCCCATCTGCCTTCTGTTCTGTGTGAATGACATTCACGCTAACTGTGTACCAGATAGAGAGTCTTTACGTAGTTTATTCTTAGGAGAGTGTCACGACGCAGCCAATCATTTTGGGTACAAGAAGACCTCAGCTAACTTGGTACAGAAATTTTGGTGGCCCACAATGATGAATGATGTGAAAAAGTACGCAGAAACTTGCTAGGTTTGTCTACGTGACAAGCCAAGGACACAGGCACCGCTTGGGCTGATCAACCCCTTGCCTATCCCTGTTGGACCCGGTCAAAGTATCCATGGAATACTCTTGTGACCATCAAGAGTGGGAAAAGACACATCTTCGTCATTGTCGACAGATTCACCAAGTATGCCAGAAATTAATCGTCATGGCTGAGACTGCTTGAACTGACCACGTCATCAAACTATTTATGGACAACTGGGTACGCGACTTCGGTCTCCCTAAGTCTATTGTAAGCGATTGGAATGTGAGATTCACCAGTGAACTGTGGCAAACCACAGCCCAACAGATGGGCACCCGGCTGCAAATGACATCAGGGAACCACCCTGAGTCAAATGTCCAGGCTGAACAAATGAACCAAGTAGTGCAGCACCTGCTTCGGCATTACATTAAGCCAAGTCAGGATGACTGGGACGAGAAGTTGCCCCTCGCCGCCAGCCTATACAATAACACTCTGCACAGCACTACTGGCATGACTCCCAACCAACTGCATCTTGGTTGGAAGCCCCTGTTACCTGAAAATCAGCCAACTGCAGCA